CACTAAAAATAGTGTATTGAAGTATCTTCAGGCTGTGTGCATAACGTATATATAAACCATAAGTTAATTTGACGTTTAGACTTGGGTCCCACCATCATCATTCTTATTATGGAAATGCAATTATTATAAAATATGAAAAATATCCAAAATTTGAAACACATTTGGTCCCAAGCATTTCAGATAAGGGAGCTCAACAACCTGTACCGGGGAGAATTCACAGCATTAAAGGCAAAGGCTTCAAACTATATTGTCATAAATCACAGGGAGTTATTTGGAGAAAACCAAAGTTCAACAGTATATTTAATTTATTTATTAAATGGATCTGTCGTCATTGCAACTAGCAATTGGTTAGACACCACTCATCGTATCTGTCTAATTCCCATACTACTATGAACTACATACCTGTCCTCCTTGACTCCCAAATTTTCTTGCTTTAATTCCCCTGCAGTGCCAGCCTCCCATGTGGGTGCTGGTTCTGGTCCCGGCTGCTGCACTTCTGACCGAGCTCCCTGCTAATGTGCCTGGGAAGGCAGCAGAAGATGGCCTGAATGCTTGGACCCCTGTGCCCATGTAGGAGACCTGGAAGAAACTCCTGGCTTCTGGCTTCTGTCCCAGCCCTGGCCGTTGCAGCCATTTGGGGAGTAAACCAGCAGTGGACAGGAGATCTTTCTCAGTCTCTCCCTCTCTCTGTAACTCTGCCTTTCAAATATGTAAAATTTTAAAATACTTTTTTAAAAAAAAATTCACCTGCTAGTTCTCCTAGAGCACCTGAAGAATGAACAGGCACACATCACACCGAGAGGCAGTATTTGTGGTGGTTAGAAGTACAAATTCCTGAATAAAACTCCTGGGTTCAAATCCTGACTCCAGCTGAAATCAGCTGCATGACTTTGACAACTGACTTGGCTTCTCTGTGTATCCATTTCCTTATCTGTCAAGTGGGGTGATAACAACATCCTCCTCACAGCCTTAGCATGAGGTCGAAATTCAGGAATCCATGTACAGTACTAAAGAGTGTGCATGGGGCTGGTTGTGCCCCACTTAAAAAGAATGTGGCAAATACCCACTGGCATATAGTCACAGATAGTTCAATAAATAGTCAGTCTCGGGGCAAGCATTGTGGCGCAGCAGGTTAAGCCGCCTCTTGGAATGTACATGTCCCATATCAGTTTGAGTCTCAGCACTTCTGCTTCTGACCCAGGTCCCTGCGAAGGCATCCTGGGAGGCTTGGGTCCCTGCTACCCACATGAGAGACTTGGATGGAGTCCTTGGCTCCTGACTTGAACCTGGCCCCGTTCTGGCTGTTACAGGCATTTGGGGAGTGAACCAGTAGATGTAAGATCTCTCCCTCTGGGGCTGCCACTGTGGTGTAATGGGTAAAGCCACCGCCTACAGCGCCAGCATCCCTTATAGGCGCCGGTTTGAGTCCCAGCTGCTCCTCTTCCAATCCAGCTCTCTGCTATGGCCTGGGATAGCAGAAGACGGCCCAAGTCCTTGAGCCCCTGCACCCACGTGGGAGACCCAGAAGAAGCTCCTGGCTCCTGGCTTCGGATCAGCGCAGCTCTGGCCGTTACAGCCATCTGGGGAGTGAACCAGCGGATGGAAGACCTCTCTCTGTAACTCTGTATTTCAAATAAATAGAATAAAATCTTTAAAAAGAAAAAAAGATCTCTCCCTCTTTCTCTCTCTGTTGCTCTGCCTCTCAATTAGGTTAAACATATATATATATATATATATATATTAAATACTAGCTCTTAGTGTGTGTATTTTTAACTCTTGCCAGTTGAATTTGCTGAACTTCAAAGTATGTGGATTGATTGATGCATGTCACATGTAATGATTACAGAAGTTGTGTTCAGTGTTAGGTTGCCTTCCCTGAACTAGCAAGAGAAGGTTGTCCTCTACTGTGGTGTGACATTGGGGGGGGGGGGGAGCCGTTCTAGGACGAAAACACATCCACTCAGGGGCGAGTCCAACATCAACAACTGAATGAGTTTCATTCGCTTTAAGAAGTGATATCATATCACGTAGGTCCTTAAGTAGACTTTTTATTTCACCAAAATGTAAAACATTGCTGACGAGTGAAATTACCAGAAGCCGTGGCAGATGGCTCTAACTCACAGGCGGCCTTCTCCCGCCCCACCCACGGCACAGGGAATCCATTTTTGAGAGGTCTGTTTGTCCTGCAACGGTTCAAGAACATTTCCAGGCATTGCACTTCCTACACACACGCAAAAGCGTCACTTTATCCTACAACTCCCCCACCTCTGCAAATGTATTTCTCCAAACCACACCAAGTTTAATGGGGCTAAGTTCAGCCTGCAGGTGGGAGCCGCACTTTTCTTTGATCCCGCTAATGAATTAATGAATTTACCACAGGTTGGGTTCAGAAGCCAGGCTCCTAGTTTTGCTGAAGCGCGGCTGATTATGAACTGGTGTAACTGCTGGACAAATGCAGCTTCGCGCTAGGAGAATTAGGGACATGGCCGAGTCCATTCATCTGCCCTAATCGAGTTCTTGGGAAATACACATGCAGATTAGCCCCTAACAATGACCCCCGGCCGATTGCTTGGAGTACCCTCCACTGCGCCCACAATGGAATTGACTGGCCCTTTATGTCCTACACAAAGGCAGCCCCAACCTCCTCTTGTCCTGCTCAGTCCCACAGGCCCCTCGCCAGTGGCCGTGCAAGTCTTTTCGCTTCTCTCCCCAGACTCTGAAATAAACAGTAAATAAAAGCTCACGTCCCCGGGGCCCGTTAAGGAGAGCTGGGCAGCTCCAAAGAGAATGAACTTTGGAAAACAAGCCCATAAACCCTTCCGTGGCGTGTGGGCAGCGGCTTAAGAAACCGGGGCCAATCTTTGTTTAGTGACGATTAAAGAGATCAATTTAATATTGGGAAACTTTCCGCAGAAAGCCTTCTCAGTCGCACGGGACGCAACAAGCAGCAGTGAATTACCCCTACGGCTCCCTGCGCTCAGCAGCTCAGCCACCTGGGCTGTCACAACTGGTCTGGCTGGCAGCAGGTGGCTGCAGCCTGGGAAGCCCGAGGGGGACTCGGGGCTGGCTGCCTCTAGCTGGCAGGGGAACCTCCCCCGCTTGGTGAAGTCACCCAGACCCCAGGGCCCACGGGCCATTCTCTGTAGACTCTTACTGGTATGGCTGGTTGTTTATTTTTATTGGACAGAGACACACACAGAGAGAAAGCTCTCATCCACTGGTTTACTCCTGAAATGCCCTCAGTGGCCAAGGCTGAGCTGAGCTGAGCTGAGTCAGGAGCCAGGAATTTAGTCCTGGTCTTTAGGGAGTGGGCAGGACCCCAGTCAAAACCCAAAAAGACCCCATAACTGTAAGTGATGTATAAAAAGCTAAGGTGCAGTTAATTTCACTTTTCTTAGAAATAATTTCTGATTTCGAAAAGTAGTTCAATTTCTTTTTTTTAACCCCTTTCATTCCCTCTCTTAAAAACTTTTTGTTTCTGTTTTATTCGAAAGGCAGAGACAATGCTATGCCTCAGATCTCCCCCAATACCCTGGGCTAACAAGCTGAAAGCCAGGAGCCAGAAACTCAATCAGGGTCTCCCACGTTGGGGGGCATAAATCCAAGTGCCTGAGCCATCACCTGCCACCTCCCAGGGTGCAGCATTGGCAGGAAGCTGGGTTAGAAGCAGAGCCAGGCCTCGAACCAGGCACCCGGGCATGGGATGTGGGCATCCCAAATGGATTTTAGCTGCTGCTCCTAGTGCCTGCTAAGTAGTTCCCGTTTTTACTTACTTCAAATTCATATGCATACAATTTCTAGCTTATATGGTCCTATTAAAATAGATTAATTAACATAAGGAGCCCCTGCCCATCCCATATGCCCACCACGGAGAATATTCACTGGTCCTTGGCAAATGTCCTTCTAACCCTAATTTAAAGGTGGAGGATCAGAGCGGGTGTTTGTCGCCCCCCAGGCTCGCCGTGGTCAGCCTGTTTGGTGGGACGCTGGGCCCTCGGGAGAGTTAAGGATGTCTCTACTTCAGAGATGCCAAGAGCGCTGTCCCCTCAGTCCTTGCGTTTGAATTCTCCTTTCCGGCTGCGGCGCAATGAGGACCAAGCCCTCTGCGGGCCCCGACCCGGGTTTGCCCGCCCCAGGGTGCACCAGCGCCAGGCGATGAGAAAAGGCACCCGGCCTCCCCCATCTTCTTCCTCCTCGGCCTGAGTCGCTCTGGGCCACGGAAGCCTCGCGGGGCCCCCGAGGGGGACAAACGCAAGCGGATTACCCAGGAACCCGCAGGGAAGCGCGAGCCCGAGAGCGCGCCGAGGTCCTGCCCGGGGCGCCGCGGGCGCCTGCTGGGCCTGGCGATGTATTAGGAGCCAGGGGCGGGGGCGAGTCGGGGCGACGCCGCTGGGCATCACGGCAGGACCCTGTCCTTCCGCGGGCGGGTCAGTGAGACTCAGGAACCCGCTGCAGGAGTCGGATTCCGGGCCAGGCTCTGAGTTCGCGGAGCCCCGCGGACACCTATGGCCCCGTCGCGTCCTGGGGCGGGCGCTGCCCGCGGCAAGCCCGAAGGGACGGGGAGGAACCGTTAGAACAGATAAAGGTAGGCACACCCCACGAATGGGGGACTTCGGATGCTACGAGTAGAATGGGGGAATTCGAACCCCGAGCCGGATGGACCGACGCTTCAGCTGCGACACGTCGGGCACGGGCTCGGTGTTCCCGGGGCGCTCGGCCCCGGGGCTCAGCCCTGCGGAGACCGTGCCCGACTGCGGAGGCGGGTGTGGGGCGGGACAGGAAGCATGAGCCCGAGGCCGGGGTCAGTCCCAGGCGAACCGGCTGCGGCGACAGGAGCCCCAGGCCCCCCGAGGTGCGCCGCAGAGCGTCAGCCCCGCCGAGCCGGGACAGAGGGGCGGGGAGGAGCGGGCCTCGGACGTTGCGCCGCCGGTTCTCGGAGACTCGCTTGTAGGGCTTGAAGCAGATCCGAAGGAGGGGTGGGTTGTTCTGCGTGCCGGCCCCAGGGCGGTAGGGCGAGGACCCTGAGGCTTGGCGGGGAAAGGGCCCGCCCCCCTGCGGAGGGAGGGCCCGGGAGAAGGGGCTGGGTCCCGGGAGATATGGGAGGAGCCCGAGGCCCGCTGCTCCCCGCCTTTAGCGCCTGGAGCCCCAGCTGCCTGGAGGCCGAACTTCCGTCTCCTGCAGGCACAGAGGCGGCGGCCAGTCCAGCGCTCACCCACCTCCAGCGCGCACAGCCCGGGCGGGCAAGGCCCACCAAGCTTGACCTTGGGTCTCGACCCGTCGGGTTTCACCGCACCCCGGAGACAGCCGCCTTCGAGTCCCCTGTCGCTGTCTCAGCGCGCCCCTCTCTCGCCTCCGGCGATCCCCATGCACCTGCCCGGCTGCGCGCCCGCCATGGCCGACGGGAGCTTCTCGCTCGCCGGCCACCTGCTCCGCAGCCCGGGCGGGAGCTCCTCCAGGTTGCACAGCATCGAGGCCATCCTCGGCTTTACCAAGGACGATGGGCTCCTCAGCGCTTTCCCGGCGGAGCGAGGCATCCGGGGCGCCAAGGAGCGGGATCGGAGGCTGGGTGTGCGGCCCGCCTGTCCCAAGGAAATCGGGGAAGATACTGAGCCCTCCTCGGCGCCCGCCCCGGCGCCCGCCCCGGAGTATGAAGGTGAGTATACGTCCTGGCCCACAGCGAGACCCCCTCGGCGCCCTAGTGTGGGAGATCTGCAAGACAGCGCCCCTTCCCCAACTTCTACTCAGGCACCTGGGCGCAGGGCTGGGGTCTCTGTCTGCGGCGGGAGCGTTCCACTTGTGTTCCTGGAAAGCTTAGGGACCCCCTCACAGCCCTCGCCTCCCTCCTCCGCAGACCATATAGCAGCCAGCGCCCTCAGGGAGGGGAGGTAGGATAGGCCCGGGGGCGCTCCGCCGAGTCTCTCTGAACCTCTCGGGCCTCGTCGCCCCAGCTCCCCGCCCCTACTGCCCCAAGGAGCCCGGGGACGCACGGCCGAGCTCGGGGTTGCCGGGCGGGCCGGCCGCAGGCGACCCGAAGCCGTCGGAGGAGGAGCAGCCCAAGAAGAAGCATCGGCGCAACCGCACGACGTTCACCACGTACCAGCTGCACGAGCTGGAGCGCGCGTTTGAGAAGTCCCACTACCCCGACGTGTACAGCCGCGAGGAGCTGGCCGGCAAGGTCAACCTACCCGAGGTCCGCGTGCAGGTAAGGCGCGCGATGGAAGGGGCCGTGGCCTAAACTGCTCCTCCGCATCCCTGGGCGTCCACAGGGTGCGTCCTGGCCTTGGCGCCGGACCAAGCGGGAGGGACGTCGTTGGTCTCCACGCCTCACGCTCTGGCCCTGCGGGATGACCTCCCCTCGGGGACTCCCAATTCTGGACGGAAAAGAGGAATTGCTAGGTGGAGCGGTTGAGTCCGCAGCCTCAGCCTGGGTGGAAGGGGAATGGGGAATGGGGAGGCAGCGGCTCGAGGACACCCGGGTTGGGCCCCCAAATGCCACCTGCGTGGCTGGCTGCACACACCAGGTTGAAAACGAAAGTCCTGTATCCTGTCGAGGGCCTTGACCGCTCTCGGCTGAATCTTTGGATGCAAACCGAGTTTTCCATCGCTGGTGCACATCCAACCCAACCCGGCGCGGCAGAGGCCCTCTCTCTTTATTCTAAAGGGGTTTTCGCTTTAATTAAAGCTGAATTCTCTTTAATCCCCGATCATTAAAATATTTGAAAGCCTTAAATATTTGCTAGTCATCTGTGAAAAAGTCTGGGAGGAGTTCCAAACTGTGAGAGTTTCCCGAGGCCTGGAAGGAAGACGCGGGGAGCAGATTCCTCCGGGTCTGAACGGCAGGCGAGCGGGGCATGGCATCTTTGTGTTTGTCTGATACAGGAGATTTCCAGGAATGAAAACACTCAGGTGAATGTGGGCTTTCACCCATGCCTTAAAAGTAAAAGGGGACAGGCTCTAGCCCTTTGCCTCTTCTGCTTAGTTTAGGGGTTGAAAGCAATTTGTAAAAGACATGGTTTTTACAAAACAGTTCTCCAGTGACTCAGGGTTAACTAGCAAGGACTGTTCAATTTCTCCTGATCTGGGACCGTAAAACTGCGATTATTTTGTTGAAGGGGTGGAAACTTTAGCACCTGCTTTCCAGGGAGGGTGCGGGGGTGGGGGCAGAGGGAGGGAAAGATGAGTGAAGAGGCGGCCAAGGCTGCTGCCACCTGAGTCCATCTTCTGCCTCCCTGTCTACACCTGTTCTGGCTTTTGGGCTCCTCCTTTAAGTCTGCAACTTCTCTGTGACCACAGGGCCAGCAGGGTGTCCTGCATGTGGCTGCATCCTTTTTTTTTTTTAAGATTATATATATATATATATATATATGAGAGATTTTACTCCCCAGATAGTCTCAATGGCCAGCACTGGGCTAAGCTTTTTTCCTAGGTCTCCCATGTGGGTGGCAAGGGCCAAAACACTTGGGCCATCTTCCACTGCTTTTCCTAGGCCTTTAGCAGGGAGCAGGATTGGAAGTGGAGCACAAATGGGATGCTGATGTCCCAGGCAGCGACTTGACCCACAGTGCCACTACACCAGCCAGACTGCGTGCTTGACACAGGACTGTGATGTAATGGGGTGTGTGTGTTTGGGGGTGGGGGGACGAGGCAGGGTCTCTTACCTTGTTAAGGGCAGCAGTAAAGTAGCCGACTTTCCCAGCCTTTCGTCCTCTGTCCCTGGATACTGGATCCAAAGGCCTGAGCTGATGTGGGAAGGGGCGATGGGGTGGACAGGCAAAGGCCCCCCGCCATGTCAGTGTTGCTCTTTTCTGTGCTGTCAGCCCACGTCCAGTATTTCCCTGACATTCAGGACCTGGGGTACCCAGACAAACCTTTTACAAGAAGGGTCAGGGATAACCTACATTTTTGCTTTGTCTCATTCCCCCCCCCATACCTCTCTCTCTCTCTCTCTCTCTCTCTCACACACACACACACACACACACACACACACACACACACACACCCCTTCCCAGCTCCGCGCAGGTGCTGTGTTTCTGCTTTCTCAGCTCTCCTAGAAGGTCCTCCCTTACCCCCTTTCTGGGCAAGGCTGCTTTGTCCCTTCATGGCCTGCACTACTGCCCCCTCTTCCCCTCAAGAGGAAAACACTAAAACACTGAAGCCGGCAGCATGGAGGTGGCCAAAGTTCATCCACAGTCTGCGGACTAAGCCCACTTGCTCTGTTCTGTTCGCAGGGGGTGGTAGTGAGACATTAATTGCACTCTTTCTGGTACTTTAAAAATCTTTTCTGAGAACTGCATTTACTTAAAAGGGAGGGAGGGAGGAAAGGAGAGAGAGCGAGAGAGCGAGAGCTAGAGTGAGCGAGCTCTTATGCACTGGCAATGCAACCCAGGAGCCCAGTAAGCTTGACCATCACCTCGGCCTTGCAGGCCCCATCAGCAGAAAGCTCTCGGTAAGGAGTTCCTCAGTAGGAAGAAAGAGGAGGAGGAGGGTGGAGGAAGGAGAGGAGGCAGAGGAGGAAGAGGTGGAGAACGAACTTGTACTCATTGAGTTACAACCTTAGGGTAAAGTCAAAACTAATTCACAAAGTAAAAATACATAGCATAAACTTGAATGGGAGTAATCTTTCAAAATCATCAGAAAGGAACGCCGGAAACACTACATTAAATAAAAATGAAAAATCTTACAACAGCCACAAGTCAAATATGCACGGAGAAGATGAACCCACGTGCTTGATCCTGCGTTCACTACCGCTGATCCGTAGGAGCGGCTGCGTGCGTTTTGTCTGTGTAGTCGGGCAGACGGTCCAGGGCAAAACGGCAGCTCCCGGGAGCTGGCCCGTCGAGGGAGGAAGCTGAGCTGAGCTCACTTTTTTTTCTGGGCACCTGCTCCGTGTCAGGAGCTGGAAACCAGTACAAGGACGGGCCACGCGGAGACGAACCGGGAAAGATTCGGGAGAGGCGAGGCCGGAGGGGGGACCGAGGGACGACACCAGCAGGGGAGGACGGGGTGAAAGGGGGGGCAGGCTGCGGCTGTGTGCGACCCGCCCCGGTGGAGTGCCGCAGCCCACGGCCGCTCTGCTCTCTCCCGCAGGTGTGGTTCCAGAACCGACGAGCGAAGTGGCGGCGGCAGGAGAAGCTGGAGGTGTCGTCCATGAAGCTGCAGGACTCGCCGCTCCTCTCCTTCAGCCGCTCCCCGCCCTCGGCGGCCCCTGGGGGCCCCTTGGGGGCCGGCCCCGGGCGGTGGAAAGAGGATTCGGTGTTGGTTGGCCCGCTGTTAAAGACCCCTGCTTTTCAAATCC